GTGTGCGTGTGTGTGTGGGGGGTGTTCAGGGTCATATGTGGGCTCAGTATTTTTGTTTGTGGACTTTATTTTGAATATTTTAACATTTACTAGTTTCACCAGTTTGTTAGCGTGCTAAAATGTATAACAACAAAACACAAAGCACAGCTGAGGCTGTTGGGAATGTTGTGTGGAAAAAGAAAAAGTAAGAAATCTTTTACAATTCAAGGGGTGTGGGAACCAATTTTCATACCAAAATTTACATTTCACTCAATACAACAAACGTGAACCTCAGGGTAGCACTAGAAAAAAAAAAGAGAAATAACCAAAGTCAATAGGATTCATTGGAACATGAAGGTTTGTACAACATTTCATGACAATCCATTCAGTAGTTGTTGGTGGATTGACGTGGTGGACCACAACAGCTATACCCTGTTTACTGTTTCCTGTAAGTTCTGTCGTGCAAGTACATTTTTGACATGTGAAAATGAATACGTATTTGAAAAAATCTGGTGAACAGGATAAAGCTTAGATAATATGTATTTGTTTGACAAGAATGATTTTGTAACTCTGTCGTGGTTCTCCCTCGGTCATAGTAAATTTCTCGCTGTGCTCATTTGGGAGTCAGCTGGCCAGTTCTAATGGTCTATTGAACTGAACCTCAGGGGTTAACAGACTGTCCCATATCTTACCACTTTTATCAGCTTCCTCCATCGCACACAAATACACATCAGAGGGTAGGAGAGAGCAAAAGGGTCAAGGTCATGTGATGCAATTTAGGCGTCCTCATTAGTTTACTGTCTATCTGAGACTACATTTGATGGATTATATGTGTGTAAATCTTTCCTGGTTCTCAGTCATACTGTAGGTCTGACCCCTGACTAGGTATGTGCTTGAAGCCCAGAATATTCTATAATAGTAGCAGCAAAAGTGGGAGGAGGACCATCATATCAAGCTCTCAGATGTTTTGCAAGGGTGTCCGTTTCACTAAGTGGTGTTCTTTGATTGCATCCAGGTTTTCAACCCCCTGGAGGAGTTGTCTGAACAGGGACACACACACACACACACACACATATATATATATATAAAAAACAGCAGTTGGCTGGATGGCCCAGCATGAATCTACGTGGCCCAATCTGAGCAGATTACAGCATATTAGGAAGGGGTGAGACAAATGCCAGTGTGTCCCCTGGTGGGTTTAAATGAGAAAAGGCTTTTGGTTTATTCTGCCGTGGAGAGAGCGGGGGCAAAGGGGAACAGTGCAATGAGCGGGCACCAGGTTATTTTGAGTGAGGGTGGTTGGAGAGGAGGGAGAGAGGGATCCAGGCAGACGGAGAAAGTCTTAAAGGTCTCCACTGTTGTTTTGTCGGTCTGACTGCCATCATATTTAATTTAGTTTGCTCCACTGCCATCTGGAAAAACAACTGTGCGCACACTGCCACTATTACAGCTGTCATGTCTTTTCCTTGTGAGCTTCTCTAGTTCATCATTTTAGCCTGTTCCCCTGTTGTAGATTAATGTTCAGGCTTTGTTTAGATGATTAGGTGTAATCCTAGATTTTGGTCACTGGGTACGGGGAGTGAATATTACAGTATATGATCAGTCTATAGCCAATAGAGTTTATGAACCCATATTTGGTCACATTTCATAGTGTATTTATTATTATTATAAACTCAATGTGTATTAGTACATATATTTTTGTAAATGTTTGAAAATAGGTAGGCGGTATTTTTTGTCATCCACTAATTATGTAACACGGCATTTCGTCTCTAAAAATATCCCTTTCTGTTTGTGTGCCTGTGTTTGTGTGCATGCATGTGTGTATGCACCCCTGCAGACCCGGAATCTCAGAGGAAGAGGACCGTGCAAAATGTTCTGGACCTTCGACAGAACCTGGAGGAAACCATGACCAGCCTGAGAGGGGTGCAGCTCAGCCACAGGTCAGCCACACAAACACGCACACACACACACACACACGCACACACACAAACAGGACTGCATAAAACAAAAACAAAGAGGCAAACAAGCCAGGAATAGTTAGTAAAAACAGCAGTTGAGATGGGCAGAGTCTTATTGACATTGCTAACAGTGTGTTAGGGTGTGGTGGTTAACTGCCTGTTGGCTCTTAGATCAATATCAGTATTCCTGATAGACCAGTAGCCATTAGTCCGTCATTTTCTGCCTGCTCTGCTCTCCCTCTGCATTGGTTAATACGGAACTGAAGCAGGATTAGCTCAAAGCTTACTTCAAAGCCGACCCTGCCAATGCACACTCACGACTCACATTCAGACACACAACGAAAGTTGCAATAATGCTATGATTAAGTGTATGTGAGTAATTGTGTGTCCGGTCCCTTCCTGTCTTTCATTGACTGATTCTGATTGCATTCAGCCCATCCTCGGGTTTTGTCCTTGAGAGCTTCCCCTCTGTCTGCCTGTCCGTCGTTCTCCTGCCATGTATCCTCTCTCAGTCCCTCAGTGGGAGCTCCCTACTTGAAGAGCAAATCAGCAGATGGTTCCCTGCTGGACTACATTTCCTTTGCCATTCATACTTTTATCGTACCGTAATAACCTTGAATCACTCCCCGCTGTCCCCGAAGACATATTCTGCTTTGAGGCCTACAGCCTGTCTGTGGACGTTTCTTGTGCAAACAAGATTTCACATTTCCTGTGAAAAACGAGTGTTTTGAGTGTGACATTTGCATGAATTAAACAAATGGATTGGTGAGCAGGCAAATTGTTTTGTTTACACATATTTTCGCTGATATATACTATGTGCACAACAAGCAGAAAGCCCGTGTAAACCCATCCTGACAAGACGGGTAGCATCCTCTCTGTCATCCCCTCTCCACTTCTTTCCTGCCTGTTTTATGTTAGCGGTTAAGCATTTCATGTGAAAATGTCTCCATTTATGGTTTTTGTGGAGATGACTCTGTATCCTGCAGACAAGATTAATTTGAATGTAGCAGGCAAAAGCACGCACTGTCACACAGTTTGAGAGCCGGTAACTTTTAATATGCTAATTCTCATCATTCTCACCTCCGACACTAAGCAGTGATGTGCTGTGCTGCTTTTGCACAGGGAATGCATGATATTGTGATGTTAGTGGTGCTGATATTTGTTGACTCACACAAATGTGCACTGGTATAAAGTGACAGGGCTGAGCAGTTTCAAGCAGAGCACAGAGGAACATAAAGGCATGTTTTCTGACAGGAAAATATCATGGAAACACACACATGCACACATATTACTTACGCATTGGTACAAATATACAAAGGTACACACATACACAGACATCTGAAAACCAACTAATCCCTAAGCTCTTGTAAAATATACAGTTTTATACACTGAAAGCCCCTCTGAGAGAAGAGGATGCTGGGTGGGGAGAGGAGGAAAGATGATTGGATGAAGGAAGCAGATCCTAAGCTCTTCTGAAAAAAAGGAAATGACAGATAGAGGTTCACTTCCTGTCTAAAACTAAAACTGTACCTGACCTCTTCAACCCTTTAAAGTAGCACATTGCTGTAAATACATTTATTTTTGAAAGCCTAACACGAATTTTGTTTTTCATTCCATAGCTGTGTGGAGGGGACCATGTGCTATGACAGCGATGAAGCTGCTGCATTCTCAATTTCCAGTCTATCAAATCGCTCCTCTCCATTGTCATGGCGCCAGGGTCAAGCCAGCCCCCGTCTGCAGGCTGGTGAAGCTCCGTCCACAGGTAACACCCAGTCAGACATTCCCATCCGGATCAACCACACCTCTCGTATCCACCTGATCGAAGCACTGGACGACTCGGATCCATCCCTTCTGAAGGGAGATTACCTCAGCAACAACGACCTCGGCGGGAAAAGCCCGAACGAGGACGATGATGAAGACGATGATGATATTGATGATCTTGGGAATGGGTAAGTTGTGTTGTTTTTTTATTTGAAAATGTTTTCACCGCTGCTTCATTAACCTGAGCAGCATAAAGAATATTTTATGACCTCACCACGCTGCAGGAACCAGGACACTTGTGTGAGCAATCAATGAGCTTAACATTGCTTGCGAGATGAATCCTGCCACCTGCCAACTGTTACAACCCCACAGCTGCAGTCAGGCCTTTAGTTTGTGGTTTACCAGTACAACAAAGCCTTGATCAGCCCCTCTATAATGCATCACAAGCCCCCTCATAGAGTCTGCCTTGACACTGGCAGCTGTAGCCCCCCTGGTGCAGCTGGCTCTGCCATAGTCAGAAAAACAGCCCCTCTGGCAGAGTCCAGGAATGATGTCACCATCATCAAGCCCCATGCAGAGATCATCCTGTCAAATTCAACTGCGAGGCCGCCAGCTTTGCCAACAGGCTTCCATGTGGAGGACCCTTCGCAGCATTGGCTCACCAGAGCCCCCTGGCAGAGCTAGAATGCATGTCTTTGAAAAACTGGTAACTCATTCTGCCTAGCCAATGTGAGATCAGCCAGAGCTGTCAATGTCAGAATGAGGCTTGTTTTAAAGTAGCCATGGATTCCGTGGATCAAAAGATTTAATGTTGAGATCACATCGGAAAACAATATGTGAGTCATTTCGCATTCGTTTATCAGAAATATTCATCAGCATGTTTGTTGTGTTGTGTAGTGGTTGTTACCCAGGTAGTGTATGCCTTTGAAACTTTGTTTTCTCCTATAATTGGAACATCTTCTGTGATATTGTTTGTCACATCTCACACATACACCACAAGGTCTCCACAAGGCTGTGGCTGCAGCAAAGACCGTGCAATTCACAGGAAAAGGGTCTCTAACCGTAACTTGTTATTTGCTATAAAATGGACTAGGAGGAATTATCCTAATCATGTTAATGTAAACGTGTGTGGATGTCTGTCTGTGCATTATTGATGACAATAACATGGTGACTCAAAAAGATTGTGTATTGTCGGGTGCCTGGCAGCGGCCCAGGGTTCGAATCCGACCTGCGGTCCTTTG